ATAGTTAAAATTTATTGAACAAAAAATAGAATAGCTATTTATTATAGTTTGATTAAATATTAATAGACAGGTTATATTTATTGTATTCATATTAAATGATTGATTATTTTTTTTATTTTTATAATTCAGCTGCCTGCCACTGTTTATTTATGACCAAAACTATTTGACAAATTACAAGAATTTCTCTTCTAGCTATAAGATCTCTATACAAATAGCTTACCAAGCTTGTGCCCAATATAGCCCACCTCAGCAGTCATTGGCCTCAATCTGGGTCCGAAACTACCTAAGGACTTTTTTCCTTTCAATCCTTGGCTAGCGACTGCAAGCCATAAGCATCAATATTGGCTTTTTTTATTAGTAGAGAAATACAAATACTAAATCAAAAGAAGTAAAAACGAGAAATAAACTCAACAACGAACCCAATCTATCTAAAACAAATAAACCAAACAAATCAAAAAAACAAAAACAAAAGAAAAGAAAACAAAGATAGCACTATTAAGCTTGTGTCAGACTAAAAACATTATATAGTACTACTAAATAAACTAATTTAACCTCTACATTAGTTATTTATGTCTATATCTAGGATGTAAGACTTAATCAAAACATCTGTTCTTGAGTAAAGGTCCAAGTTCAAAATTTTCAATTGCATAGCTTTGTAAAACTTTTGCAACGTATTCATGACTTCCTATTTTAGACTTCAATCGTATATTATTTATTCCAAAGCAGGTATGTACTTCTGTACATGATTTTTCTTTTTCAGCAATAATCCTTAGATTGATTCTTTGACAAGATATGCTGTTTTTCCCACTTTTTGGTAAAATTTTATGAAGTGCAAAGAGTGGCGTATTGTAAAGGGTTTCGGTTAGCAGGTAGGCTTAAACTTCGATAGGGAGTATATTAAAAACTCAATTGTTGTTCTCCTTTAAACCAACTATCTTTCACTTTGTCAGCAGAAGCTATGCTTCTATTAAATTTTTTTGTACAAAGGTACCACCTTCTGCCAGTTATCTTGTACAAAAATGTTTTTAACTTGTTTGCTAAATATACTAAGAAGTTTGGGGAAGACAAAAAGACTAGAAAACTCTTGATTTCTGTAAAAACTGTTACTTGTATAGTTGTCTCTTCTACTTTTCTCCAACAAGTTTTTGTTTTCATTAGTCGAAATTTTAGTACGAGTGATTATTAGGGAGAATTGTTAATTATTTTTTTCAAAAGCTTTAAAAATTAAAAATAAAGTACTATTTTTTTATATTAGATAAAAATTTGTTAAGAGTTTATTGTTTACTATGTTTGATATATAAAAAAACAAAAATATTGCTTAAGTAACTTTTATATAAAGTTTGATTAAATATTAAAAGATAAGTTATATCTATTATGTTTATAACAAAGCATCGATTATTTGTTTCAAAAGCTTCAAAAATTAAAAATAAAGTGCTATTTTTTTATATCAAATAAAAATTTGTTAAGTTTATTGTTTACTATATTTGATATATAAAAAACAAAAATATTCCTTGAGCAATCTTTATCAATAGCAAATTTTTAAAGAAAAAAAATAGTTTATCGAAATGGTTAATATTTTGCAATTTTTTTTGACAATCAGTGATTATCATTTTATCAACTTGTTAAAATATCCTACAAAAAAAAATTAAAAAATATCAAATATCAGTAAATAGACAAATCAAATTGCATCAAGTTAGCAATTTTTTGTGTCTAAAATTATAGCTTTTAATATCATCAGTTATTGCAAGTTTGATATTATTATGTTTGTTTGATGTAATTATGAATTTATACATATATATTTATAACACATTATGTATTTAGAAATACGAAAAATAATAGTATGATGAATTTGTTTCTAATATATAAAAGCCATAGTAAAAAATTGTAAAACTTGTTAAAATCAGATCATGAGTTGAATATATATATACGTATATACATATATACTTCATACTATATACAGTATCCTCAATAATATTCTTTTTGAGTATTGTTTAGGGTACTATACAAAATCACAAAGCATTTTGTCTAATCAAATATCTATGATTATATATTTTACTTAACTTGTCTGTAAACTATACTCTAGTACTTTGTACTCTGTTCTTGGTATTATACATGATCTACTACTAATTATTTTAAGATTTATTTTTTTTAGTACTTTATATAATAAGAATTATTAAAATTTTTATACTCTAATAAATAAGAACAATTTTTTATATAAATTATTAAATAAATTTAAAAAATATATTATAATATAAATTAATATTGATATTATTTAATAATCTAATAGTAGTTTATTCTTTAATTATAATAATCTGATTATAGTTTATTTTTTAATTATAATAATCAAATTGTAATTTATTTTTTAATTATAATTATTTTAACTATTATAAATTTATACAATCAGTAATTAATAATTTTTAAATTAATATATTATTAGTAATATATAAATTAACAAATCTTTAATAATCAGTAAAAATTACTAGATAATAAAAATTATTTAATTAGTAATTTACTGATTATAAAATATTTGTTAATTTAAATTAAATATAACAAATCAGTAACAACCAGTATTTTGAATTAATAAATTAATTCAAATAAGTTAACTGATTTTAAACTGATTTTATACTGATTATAGCCAAAAATCATCTAAAATCAGTAACAAATAATATTATTTAATAATCTATAATCAGTATTTAATCAGTTTATAATTAGTATGTCTATTTGTATTTATTTAAAAATTTATCTACAATCAGTAAATTTACTGGTTTGCTAGTTTTCAACCTGTAAAAGAAATAGTGAAAGTAAGTTTAGCTCAGTCTTTAGTAGTAATATTAATAAATTTTTTAGTATATTTAGTTGTTAATGTTTATTGTTTACAGTTGTTGCAACTTGTGAACTGGCTGTCTTGGGAGTAAAGTAGACTAGAGATCCTATAAAGAAGCTGTTTTGCTATGCTGTAGTGTTAGGGTCTGTTGTGCAAAGATTTGTCTTTGGTTATTGTTTGTTTTGCTATTAATAGCTTGTATATTGTCTTGAAATATCTCTTGAAGCAGAGTTGATAGGTCTATAAGACCTTTGCCATTTGATGGTGAAGAGTTGTAAGTGTTGCTACTTAGTTGTTCTTTGTCTAGTAATTGTTGTTCAAATAGATTTTCTTTAAAAAGTTTTACTTTAAAATATTTCAAACAGTACTAAACAAGTTTATTTAAGAAATCTTGCTATATTTACTTAGTTTTTTCTTGACTTTTCTTCATTCAGAGTTTTTTCTTTTTGCTTCAATTTTGGTAAAATTAATCAGCAGAAAAAGTTATTTTAATATAAAACAATTAGTATCTAGAAAATGTGTATTAGATTAGAATTAGATAATTATCTAAAAAGATAAATCAAAATAATATAAATATTTGAAATAGTAATTAGACCTAAATAGATGCTATTTGAATTAACTACAAAAGAGTAAATAACTTAGATTATGACAACTCAGATAAAAATATAAGTTAGCCTGCAAGTAGCCTGTAAATATAAGCAAAAAATTAAGATTCTAAATAATATTTATTGAAAAAGATTTAAAAATACTTCAAATCTGATTTAAAAAAGCTCTGCTGATATTGAACTTATAAACTTTCTAAATTTTTAATTATTGCTAGCAAAGATGCTTTGAATAATATATGCATATATATATAGTTTTATAATATTTATATTATGCTATGCAAAGTTAAATTTTTGTTTTGCATTATCTAATATTTCAAGGTTTAGTTGAGCAGTTGAATTGTTTTGTTACAATCAAAATTAATAGTTTTATATTCTTATAAATTTTTATATAACCAAAGTTATCTGATTTCTAAAGTTACTTGAAACATATTTATTTGCTCAGATGATTTTAAATTCTTTAATATTTAAACTAATTAAATATAAAATATTATAAAACAATATTAAGTTAAATCTATCAGTAACTTATTAGATACAAGAGTAACATATAACTATACTAGCTTATATATTAATTTGAGAATTTAAAAACCTAGTATCTTAGTAATAGAATTATAAAATATATATTATTTTCTAACAACTTTGTAAATAAACAATATTTAGCTATTTGGATTAATTTGTTTTAATAAAATTTATTAATAATTTATCTTTAAAATATTAACTATAGCTCAATCTATATTTAATCTAAGAAAATAACTAAATTTCACCAGTGGTGATTTCCCTAGTACCCAGTGTATATATGATATTCAAACATGTGCTACATATATTTGTGAATTGTATTATGCACATACATATAATCGGTTGGTTTATTTTGACAGACTTTGACAGATACGGGAGTGATCAAATGACGCAATAAATAATAGGGTCATAAATAAATAGGTAGTTCTATCAGACAGTGATCAAATTTCTTCTTTTACTCATTCGCTTAACATAAAATGATTTAAACTTTCTTGTCAACGATACACGCACATACATATAATCAGTTCGGTTTATTTTGACAAACTTTGACAGATATGGGGTGATCAAATGACACAATAAATAATAGGGTCGTAAATAAATAGATAGTTCGATCAGACAGTGATCAAATTTCTTCTTTTACTCATTCGCTTAACATAAAACGATTTAAATTTTCTTGTCAACGATACGTATATACTATTAAGTAGGACAATATCAAAAGGTAAAAGAGAACATAACCATACCTTTAAGTAATGCAACTTCATTATCAAACCAAAAACCAAAATTTCCTCTTTATACTGTATTATAGCTTACGCAAAAATATCATGATTCAAGATGACAATTATAGTTGTCTTTCTTTGTCCCCTGAAGCGAGTTCCTCTTTGTCTCATATCAGACGCGAAAATACTATATTCCAAGATGATGATATTAATTTTTTCTCTATACCACCTGAGACTAGTTTTATTTTTCCTTATACCGAATATGATACTATGACTCAGGACAATGATAATAATTATTCCTCTTCGATTACTGTGACAAGTTCTTTCCCAAGTTTTTCTGAGAATAAAGATATGCTGGAAGAACCGCACTATTATTTGTTTGATTCAGATTCTAGTCAGGACTCCAATGAAGATAATTTACAGATCACCGTTGGTCAGTCTTTTCAAACATGGAAAGATGCGGAAATGTTTCTTAATGATTATGGCAAGCAACAGGGGTTCAGTATTCATAGAAGAAGAATTGATGGGCCTATTGAAAATGGTAATAAGGTAGTTAGGAGGGTAGGATGGAAGTGTGCTTATTCAGGAAAATACCAGCCAAAAAAAAATGCTGATCCCTAACAGCAAAGAAACAAGCTCTCTAAGGCGACGAATTGCGAATGGCATGTCAATGGAAATATGTCTAAATCAGCCACTATGTTTTCATTTACTACTGTTATTGACACCCATAATCATTCAATGATACCATCTTCCTCAACAAATATACCCAAATATCGTAAATTAGGCAGTGATATGATTGAGTTTATTGAATTTTGTGTCTTACATGGTACTACTGGGGCCCGAAATATTTGTAACCTTTTAAGAGGGAAGTTTCCTGGTAGAAAAATACACCAAAAAAACCTTTACAATGCTATCCAAAATGCAAAAAAAAAAAACCAACCCTCTTCCAGAATTTGATACTTCGAATATGCTATGTTATCTGTATGATCAAAAAAGTAAGGATCCTAGTTGGTTCATTGAACCGAAGTTCGATGGTCCCGAGCGTCGTCTATGTGGAATCGTATGGATGTCACCTGAACAACAATATGTTTGGACACGTTATCATGATATAATTTTTTTTGATACAACCTCATATACAAATAAGTACAATATGATGGCTTGTTTTTTTGTCGCTATTGATAATTGCAATCGTACACGTTTGATCGCCACTGCACTTTTAGAGGATGAGACCCAAGAATCATTTGTGTGGGCTTTAGCAACGATCAAAAAATGTATGAATAATGCTATGCCTCAAGTAATATTCACTGATTGTGACCTTGCCATGGCAAATGCTATTGCCCTTGAATTTCCCAATTCAGTTCATTGTTTGTGCATGTATCATCTTGGAGTTAATTTAAAAAAAAATCTTCACGAAAAACTTCAATCTGGAGAATTCCAGCATTTTGAGGCCGATTTTTTTCTTTGTCGTAATACATTATCGATCAGCCTTTTTGAAAGCCGATGGGAATCCTTAAAAATGAAGTATCCTTCTGCTATTAAATATATAAATCGGCAATTGGAACCTGTAAAATCCAAATAGGCTATTTGTTATACTCACAATCAGTTTACTGCTGGTGCTAACACGACACAATGTGTAGAAAGCCTTAATAAAAAAGTACATGATTGTGTACAAAAAAAAAACATCTCTTTTGAATCTTGTGAAAGAAATTCAAGGACTTCTTGATAGAGAATCAGAATATGTACGGATAGAAGAATATAAAGACCAAATACTGTTTATTAGGTTAGCAACAGTTACAACCCGATTTTTTCAGCAAATTGAATCAGTAGTAAATGAATTTCTCATGCATTCTATGGCTATAATCGTGTCTCAGCAAATGCGAGAATGCTTTTTTTATGATATTTTTAAGGTGGATAATATGAACCATGATAGTTCTATTAAGGTAAAGTAGAGTAGTTTTTTTTTTTTGGACTATAAATAGCCTAACTATTTATATATTAAAGAGTCAAATGAACCAAGATTATAATAAAGGAACACGGGAGGATAATTATGAAGCGTCTAAAATTCTTTTTGAGGAAATTCTTTCAACAATCGAGCCAACAAATATTATAGAAATTTTGCGTATAACAATCTCTGGTGGTTCGACATCTCACTATATTGTTTTAATATCTGATGGCTCTCATAGATGCATGTGCAATCTTTTAGTTACTCACGGATTTCCCTGTAGACATTTTTATAAGGTTTTACGATGTTCGTCTAGAGCTCAATGGCACATAAAGCTAATCTCTGAACGATGGTATAAGAACGATAAAATTAAGAATCTTGATGAAGTTTTAGCACAACAATTACCAATTAAACTTTGTGAAGATTCATTCCAAATGGAAGTCAGGCCTGATTTAAATTTTACATATATTAAAAAACTTCGTGGTAATGAGGTTTATACTCCTGCACTTCAACAAGTAAACTCTAATCGTATGAAATATGGACGTGCCCAAGGTATAATGCGTAAGATGATTAATTTGGCATTGGATACCAATTCTTATGAAGAGATGATCAGAATTTGTCAAGAATTCATACTTAATAAAC